ATTCAATATCATATCTTGCTCTGGGAAATTTTGCAGTTAGGGACCTCTCCAAATTATTGAGAAGTATTGAGGTCAGTTTGAGAGCTAAGGTGCATCTGATTCAGGCCATGGTCTTTCTGATAACAGGCTATACATCCGAGAGCTGGACAGTGAATAAAGATGACAGAAAAATAATTGATGTTCCTGAGCTGTGGTGTTGGAGAAGAGCATTGAACATGGGCTGCTGAAAGAACAAACAAATATTTCTTAGAGAAGGTTAAACCAGAGTGTTCTTTGGAGGCAAGGATGATGAGGCTTCACCTCACATACTTTTGACATGTTGCAAGGAGGAGCTATTACGTGGAGAGGGACATGATGTTGGGAAGGGTTAAGGGTAGGTGAAGGAGAGGAAGACCTTAGACCAGGTAGATTGACATGGTGGTAGTCACAGTGGGCTCTAATGCTCTAATGTGTCAGGTAGTGTCAAAATGACATAGGATAGGATGGGTTTCAGATTTGTTGCTCATAGGGTTGCTATGAGTAATACTCAACTCAGCAGCACCTTACAACAACATCAGGGACATGTTTCCATTTATTTATGTCTTTTATTGTTTCTTGAAGAAATGCTCCATAGTTTTCTTTGTGCAAGTCTGAAGTGTCTCTTGTTAGTTTCATTCCCAAGTATCTTAATTTGTGGTTGGCTTTCTAAATGGTACTTATAAATGGTATTGCTTTCTTGGTCTCCTTCTCTGAGTTCTCTTTGTTGTTGTAGAGGAATCACATTTACTTTTGTTGTTTTGTGACCATAGGTTGGGAAAATATTTCTGGTTTTTCCCATATGTTTGGTGTTTGTTTTTTTTCCCTTCCAGGTAAAGCCTGATACTAAGGGGCATAACTCTGTTCTGGTAGGATTATATTCAGTTCTGATTACAGGTATCTTTCTTTTCCATACATATGCTGCCAATAGTAATAGCAAAATCCAAAGAATTGTAAGTTTTTCTCTTTCCTTGTCATCCTTTATTTCTTTATATATTCACCAGCTTCTTAGGAGTTAGTTCTGCCAACTTCATATTCCCTAAGTTAACTATTGCCATTGGTAAAGTACTACAGAATAATAGCTGCATTAATCAATAGGTATTCCTTAAAATATCCAGACACCAAAGGTGCCTTATTCTTCTGTTTACCCCTTTGTCTCCAAAGACATATGTTACAGAAAGTCCGGACCTTGTAGAAGAACTTACTACTTTGACACCAATTGCTTTTCTCATTTGTTCTGCTAAGATTAATAGACCAGTTATAAGAAATGTCACATATCAATAAACAGGGTTTTGCATTTATCTGTTTGGGTGGCAGTTCTGGTTTCTTTAGGGTATATTCTCAGTAGTGGAATTGCTGGGTCAAATGGTATTTATACTTTCAACTTTTTGAGAAAGTGCCATACAGCCTTCCATAGTGGTTGAACCATTTTACACTCCCACCAACAGTGAATAAGGACTCCAGTTTCTCCACAACCTCGCCAGCGTTTGTTGTTTTCTGTTCTGTAAAATTTTGCTATTCTTACTGGGGTGAGAAGATATATCATAGTTGTTTTCATTTGCACTTCTCTTAGAGCTAGGAATTTTGAACCTTTCCTCATGTGTTTGTTTGCCATCTGAATGTCTTCTTTGATGAAGTGTCTATTCATCTCCATGTTTATTGTGGCTTTGTTCAAAGTAGCAAAGAGTTGGAAGCAATCCAAGAACCCATCAACAGACGAATGGATAGAGAAGCTCTGGTATATTCACACAATGGAATACTATGCTGCATTGAAAAAGCAAGGAACTCGTGAAATATTACACAAAATGAGTGGCCATGGAGGACATTATGCTGAGTAAAATGTCTCAGTTACAAAAAGACAAATACTGTATGATGCCACTGTTATTAAAAAGGACTGAAATAGTGGTTGGGGTCAGTCTATGAAAGAGGGAATAAATAATGTATACTGCATTGAAACAGATGAGGGAGAAAACTGTTTAAAAGGGACATATGATTAGGTATTATTGTCGTGACATGGGTTTTGAATGAAGGCAGCATAGTGGAGTGGACTTGGCAGGATTAATTGTATAATAATGAAAGACTTTTTCTTTTACTTTTCAAAGACAAGAGTGATTTGGGGACAGGGACAGGGAGAAAGGTGCAACAATGAATGAATTAATTAATGGAAATCCAAAGTCTCTGTAAACTTTCATCAAAATTAATAATTAAAAAATGCCAAGTCAACATTGTCTCAAGTGCTTACCTGCTCTATAAATCCATAATCTCTTACATAAGCAGCTCCTCTATGTCCCTTGGTCTTCGTGGTTTGCTGGAAGGTCTCCCAGATTCTTAGGGCCTCATGTAGCTGTGCAGTGCAATTTTGCTGACACTGGCAAGTGTCATGGACCATCCCTTAAGGGTAGGAATACCAAGAAGAGAGAGAACTAGCACTGAGGTCCCATGAGATTATATAAGCCTTTAGTAGGGTTGAAGTTGTTGTTGTTATGTGCCATTGAGTCACTTGCAACTCATAGCGACCGTATGTACAACAGCCCTAAACCCTGCTCTATCCTGTGCCAATCACACTGCCTCTGACACACACATCCCACTTACCCCAGTCACTGAATCAATCCACCTAATAGAGGGTCTTCCCCTCCTGCGCCGTC